AATAAAAAAAATTTTATTCAAATCGCTTTATTTTTGGAGAAGTTAGATGTGTCCGGTTACTTTTGAATAGTACTGTATCTCAAAAGGAGAGGAAATTATCAGGTGTGATGGTAATCAATATGGTAATGCATTAAGTCATTTGAACACATTATTAAATGCTGAGCCTGATAATACAAGGGCACTGAGAGTAAGAGGAAAAATCTATTATGCACTCAAACAGTATAATGATGCATTAAATGATTTTAACACATTATTAGATATAGAAACTCAGCAAGAAAATAATTTAAATACATTGAGTGTAAGAGCAGCTATCTATCTTGATCTTTGTCAGTACAGCAAAGCATTGGATGACATTGGTAAAATTTTAAATATCAAACCAGATGGAACCCTTTACAGACAATTATTATCTTTGTTTGATCAATTAAAAGCACAAAATTGTAGTCAGCCTGTATTATTAGAGTTTAAAGGGCATCAAATCAGAGATGCTGGAGCCATAATCTTAGCAAAAATTTTGAAATTAAATTCCTGTCTGACATCCTTGAATCTTCAGGAGAATCAAATCAGAGATACAGGAGCAACAGCTTTGGCAAAAGCTCTAGAATCAAATTCTTCCCTGACTACTTTGTATCTTTCTTCTAATCAGATTGGAGATACAGGAGCAACAGCTTTGGCAAAAGCTCTAGAATCAAATTCTCTGACTACTTTATATCTTTTTTTTAACCAAATTAGAGATATAGGAGCAATGGCTTTGGCAAAAGCTCTAGAATCAAATTCTTCCCTGACTGCTTTGTATCTTTCTTCTAATGAAATTGGAGATACAGGAGCAACAGCTTTGGCAAAAGCTCTAGAATCAAATTCCTCTCTGACTACTTTGTATCTTTCTTTTAATCAAATTGGAGATGCAGGAGCAATGGCTTTGGCAAAAGCTCTAGAATCAAATTCTTCCCTGACTACTCTGTATCTTTCTTCTAATCAAATTGGATATATAGGAGCAATAGCTTTGGCAAAAGCTTTAGAATCAAATTCTTCTCTGACTTCTTTAAATCTTTCTTCCAATCAAATTGGAGATACAGGAGCAGCAACTTTTACTTTGGCAAAAGCTAGAATCAAATTCATCTCTGACTTCTTTGATATTTAAGAAATCTATTACTATTAGGGCTGCACTTAGTAAAATCAAATTTCACTCTGACTCTTAAATTATAAATTAAATTTACTGCTCATTTTCAGAAATGTCTTGTTTATACTAAAAGTCATTTAACATATTAGGTCATATGCTTTATTCTAATCATGATGCTGAACCTCTCCAATGTCCTGGATGATATCAACTTTACTGAACAGACATAATAATAATTAAACTGAGCTTTTAGCTCTGGGTTACAGTTGGGGGGTATACTGGATTTGTACTAAACCAATCTAATACTAATACCAATCTTAGCAATGCTTCTCAAACAGCCATGAACATAGTAATAGATCCTCAACTATGACCTCCTATTACTATCGCAACATCATTACTATTATCACAAAATGCTCTTCAATCTTCCATCCATGCTCCTAAAACCTCACAAACATCAAATGAATCTGACAACAAATATTACAATTCTAATGATCTTCCCCATTCTTCTCCACTCTCAAATACTAAAACATCTGATAATGTCAATACCAATTACAATGCTTTCTCACAAGGCAACTCCATAGAAATTGAACTGACAAAAATGATAGTTATAATACTCAAACTTATGAAATTGTTACTAACCCTCATTCTAAACTCCATAGTATAAGTATAAGTAATAGACATAATGATTCTCATTCTTCTTCTTCCTCCTCCCCATACCCTACTAATACCAATCACTCTTTATCTTCCCAAAACAACAGTAGAATAATCAAAGAAAATTGCTTTTGTACTATTGAAAGAGAGGAGCAAATCCCAACCCAACTTAAATGACTTAGAAAGCTATTCAATGAGTTGGTTAATTATTATTATGGCTTCTCCACTTCTGGTGGAGTTTGAAGCGACCATAACTGACTGAATGACTCTGCCTATTTTGCTCCTCATCTCAAAATATTTTAAGAGACAAAAATTACTTTCGCAATCAAATTTACAATTAATCATAAATTCTATCAGAAAGTTGGCAGCAAATCCGCTATTTTAAATCTGCCTGTTAGCATTAGTAACTATTTCCTGGTAAAGCAAATATCAAAGCTGAGGCAAACCTGATTAACAAACTTAATTAACAACCAGCGACCTGACGATTCCGCTAAATTAAGACTTGCTATTACTATTGTTGAATTGAAGCCCAAATTAAGGAATCCCAAATTAACCATAACGAAGAACAACTTATTATTTTAGTACGAGTCAAGAAATAGTTAACCACAAACAAACTAACTGATAGTAATTGACAACTATTTAATTAAATAATCAGCTGCTGAACAACAAATCGTTGATGAATCAAAAAATGCTTCAAGATAGTGGTTTCCAGAAAGCATTCTAATACTAAGGACAAATTGATAAATATAATAATAAACTAGTCTCTCTGGTAAAAATCAAACTGAGAAAGGGGTTGATAAAATTGAAATTTATAAAGCCGTTAACGAAAAACTGATTTAAGTGAAGAGGAAAAAGCTGTTAAAATAGAGCAATTCTATCACTATCACTAGTATCAAAAATTTTATCAAAATCTACTTAATATTAAATAAACAATGTCCGCTCTAAACTAGTAGTGTCTGAAACTGAAATTCCGCCCCCATCTTAAGTCCTTACTATTACCGAATCATTGAAGAAAATTACATGCCGGCTCTGCAATTGGTGAAGCCAACTCTCTAAAAATCAGTTGCAGATGGCAATCAACCAGAAACGAGAAGTTAAACTTAATGCAATCTGTGAAGAAGCAATTGCGAAAATAAAAGTGCACTTAAAGGAAGAGAGAAAAAAACATTAAAACTAAATGAAAATTTTGAGGATATAATTAAATCCACTATGGAACCGGATGAAATTGAAAGTAAATTACAAGTTACTGGCAAAACAAGGCAATAATAATAATTTAAGATCCAACAGGGACAGAAAATCCCATCTTCTTCTCCAATTCTGAAAGTTGGTTTAATTTTTATGCAAGCCATAATTGGCTTTGCTTTTTATTTTCTTAATTGTTGTCTACACTCGTTTATGGACTAAAAAGTCCTAACCAAAGTAACTGGGGCTAGTACTAAGAAATTTAATTATATCTTCTTTTTTTCAGAGCAATTTAAGTGTCTTTTCATCTCAGGTCTGTTATTGAACAACCACGAGGTAAATCAGTCTCAGTAGTAGGTAAAAAACGAGCTTCTGCTTGTTCATTATCAGCTGGAGAATAACTAAGATCAGCAAAAACAATGGTCTCGGGTTTTATTCCTATTCATGCACTTTGGATATTGCTAAGAAAACATTTAATTCTCCATTTTCAAAACGACTAGTGAATTCTTCTTTTTCGCGATAACTAGTTTTGCCAATAATAAGGCCCGACTCCACACCTTTTTCTTTTAAAAAAAAATATAAAACAACGGCTCTAAAAAAGTCTCGCTGCGAGTGGAAAAAATTAATTATGCTGTTCTTTTCCTTCTTGAAAAAAAAACTTCCAGATAATTAATTTTACTACTGAGCCCCAAAGCAGGAGCATAAAGGGCAAGAGTTTTCAGCTTGGCAAGCCGTTGATATTCCTGTCATCTTTCCTTTCACTCTGAATAAACTTTGTTGCTCTCCTTCCAATATTAAATATCCTTTTCGGTGGTAATAAAGGTAAAACTAATCCCCCAAGCTTAAATTAATGTTCCTGCATAGGGTATGTGCGGGGTATGCATAACCATTAGCAGGCTGTGCAAATTTGTTGCGTTACTTGGCCGACAATGTCAGCTTAACACGTGATGCAAAGTATATACAATGATGTCAAGTGCAACGTTTGTGAAGTTTTATTGCCTGGTTGATAGTTGAATGAACATACAATATTGAGCAATGCGAAAAAACGCTAACTAAAAACTCTTTTTCTTTATCCTACTCCTATAGCAAGCATTCTTGTCCTGACCCCGCGACTATTCTGCGCTTACAAGTGTCATCACACGCCTTCATTCTCGACTCTTGCTCAAGCAGAACAAACATACCACCCACTTTGAACGACAGTACCCAGTTCCTTCTTTGTAAGCGCGAATATCCTATCATCTAGTTTATGCTTCATTTTCATCCAACTCTTGCGTACTTCCCCTCGGCTATCCAATTCGGAGTAAATCTTCCCTCCTGTTTTCTCTTCTACGTTTCTTCTTAGATTTTCGTTTACCTTTGCTAACCCCCGTATCAGTATCCGAGCTTCCAGTATTCAAACTCATAGCAGATCCGGGCCGAGACTTAATCACATTCGCTTCTGGTTCAAAGTCAAACAAGGACTGCAAAAGCTCATTCTCTTGAAAATGCACATGCAGTCCTTCGGCCAAGATATCTCGAAAAGCTTGAAGCTGGTGGATTTTTGACCAACTTGAGAAAAGAATCGTTTGTTTCTTAATTTTTAGTTTCAATTGGACGCGTTCACCGTACTACATCGAAAAATGAATTGATACAAGTTAGAATTGAATCCCCCCAAACAGTATAGCGTCAAACACAAACACATTACCTCAACGGTTCTAGAAATATTTCTAAAGATAGATCGCTGGGTCTTTCTCTCCGCCTTTCCTCTCCATCTGGTAGCATCTCTCGCAAGAGTGTTTAATAACTCCAATAACCTCTCCATGTCTTCGTAATTCTCGGATCCCTCATAATCCTCGTCCGACTCGCTTGCTTCTCCCCACTCGCCTGCGCTACGTTCGCGGCCAATTTTCAGTATCTCAAACATCAGTGCGATATTCTCTCCACTGGCGACTCTAACATCCATGCTTGGTGATTCGAGATGCATCATGTGCATAGGCATGACTCTTTCGAACTCCTCTCGTGCAGCGTGAGAGTTGCGTTTACTATCGCCCCAGAGACCAGCATAGAGCAGGCCATAAGCCCTCAGCGCTGCAGTAACAGTTAAGGAATCATTGGGCGCATTGACTGAACTCCCATTAGTCTTAATTATTTGAACAAAGAATCCGATCAATTCTAATGCGTCCATGGCGGAAGCTGAGATGAAGCAGGCAAGGCATAACGTTTTTATGCACTACAGCAGTGAGTATACATTAGCTATTAGTCAACAAAACTAAAACTCATTTAAAGCATCAGTGACCGAAAAACCTTCCATTTGGACAGAGTGAAACTTACTGCGCTCTTGACTTCTGCGGATGCTGTGTTTGTGATCGTATTCTTCAACAATTGCATTACAGCCTGGTACATCGACACCCGTGATTCACCGAGCGTTACAAATAAGAGCAGCATAGCTGTAAAGATAATCAATAGGTAAGACTTTAGCCGAATATAAAAAAACAAGCGCATCGATGATTGCGTTTACCTTTCGCTGCAATTTGATTCTCTTTATAACTTTTCTCCTTTTTAATTGACTTTGACAGCAGTTCAAGCAGATCCTCTTGACGAGAATCAAGGACAGACGCTGCATACTTATGAGACATAAGACGAACTAACTGCGACAAGCCTTGTTCTCGAGTACTATTGACATCATGAATAGGTTTGGCTTAATAACACATTTACAACAATGTCATACCGTTCAAATAGTCTACCTCTCCTTCCCCGAGTAGATCAAAATTTTGCAGTCTACAATGCACATACCTCGATCTCTTTTCTTCAAGCATTTCGATGCTTTCCAAGAGTTCGTCCTCCCAGTTCACACCCTCCTCAAATTCCACTCCTCGGCTTCCAGTACTCAACCAAGAATCTATCGTGTCCCCAGAGGTCTCACTCAATCTTTCTTCGTCGGTAGTATTATGACCACTGGTCTGATTTACATAAGCTGCTAGAGGTGATACCTTCTGTTTTGCTTGTTGACGTACAGCACGTTTGTACATGTTACGAGACATGGTTGTCGCAATGGTGATTCAGACGAAAGTATGTAACTAACGGCGGGGAGAAGAAAAAAGTACAAGTGGCAAAGAAAAAACCTTTAAATCGAATTGAAAAACTAATTATGATCAAATTTAACGGTACGGAGAGAGCAATGCTCTTTTTTAAATAACTTTTAATGGAAGAAGTTAATGCACACCAAAATTTTTATTTGTAATAAAAACATTGCGCAGATCCCATGTAAATTTGTCAGTCGAAAAGCCTAACTGTGTCAATGCACGTGCATTAACGTAATGGTAATGCTGGGGTATGCAGACTATTTCCATGTGTGGAGATCGTATGTTCGGGCAGAAATGTGTGGCGTAATGTTGGCGTAATGTGGGGGATCCGCTTTACAAATTTGGTGTTATTACGTAACTATATCGAAACGATTGCTAAGAGATGAGCCACTACCAAAGTAATTAACATTTTAACACTGAACCCAAGATCGCACTTGGTCCGCATTGGTCTAGTGGTTAGGATTTCGCGCTTTCACCGCGACGGCCGGGGTTCGATTCCCCGATGCGGAAAACTTTTTTTTGCATGTAACAAACATTTTCGGGAAAAAGATCTATTTTTGTCATCGCGATGATACACCAAATGGCTAACGGACCAGTTAATTTAAAAAATATAGTTGGTAGTATAAATATAAATTCGTTTTAATTCAAATTTCCTGGTAACGGTACTGGCAGAGCGCGATAATTCTGTCAGGTAATAATCGCTCATGATTACGGTTGGCAAAAAAGACACGCTCGGACAACAAATTTGAATTTATGTCTAATACACTCCATACACGAAAAAAGAGCCCGCAACCTAAAGCCACATAAGCTTCATAACTAAAGTTACACTTAATTCAATTACGAGTTACATCTTGTTTATGCAATCGCATTGACTTACGCGGGCTACGAGTCTTTGGTCTTAACTTCTTATATCAAGTCTGTAATATTAACTTTCAATTGTGGGTTGATATTAATATTATTAATTTTCACTAACAACATAGGATGAATTTTTTTTATTAGTTACCATCTGCGAATGAATACTATTTATATTGCTTGGATAAATAAAGTTTACCGTGTGAATTTGAAAAAGTGCAACTTTAATCAAAAGTTACTGATAACAATAACAGAGTATAAAGCATAAACCATCAACAATTGAATAGGGCAATACCACAAACCTATTAATAATTGAATTGTCTCATAATAATAAGACTTTTATGGTTTAGGTCTTCTATTTCGTTATTTCATGGTTATGTTTGAGGATCTATTATTATTATACACTCCCATGACAAAAGTCTACGTAATTTTTGTCGATCACATAGTAAAACATATGAAAAATCTATTTTTTCGAAGCGCTCTACTGT